AGGGCAAGACATCAGTGTGCCTTGCCTCTTTTTTTTTTTTTTTTTTTTTGAGATGGAATCTTGCCCTGTCACCCAGACTGAATGAAGTGCAGTGGCACAATCTCGGCTCACTGCAACCTCCACCTCCCCAGTTCAAACGATTCTCCTGCCTCAGCCTCCCCGAGTAGCTAGGATTACAGGCACGCATGACCACACCTGGCTAATTTTTGTATTTTAAGTAGAGATGGGGGTTTCTCCATGTTGACCAGGCTGGTCTTGAACTCCTGACCTCCGGTGACCTACCCACCTCAGCCTCCTGAAGTGCTGGGATTACAGGCGTGAGCCACCGTGCCCGGCTGGTCTGGCACTTTTGTGGCCACCACTCTGGGGCTGTAGCTCTTTGAAGAGCCCTGTGAGAGCAGCTGTGGAGAGGTCACAGCCTGGGCCGTGGCTCGGGTGCTCCGGGGAACATGCAGTGGCCCTCAGCACCCCATCTATCTGCCTGTCATCAAACAACCCCACCCCCACCTCTGTCCAGGTAGGCTTTTGCTGGCAGAGGAATGGACAGCTCACCTGCCAGTGTCTCCCAGCCCCAGGGAGTTGTGGACACAGAGATTACAGAATCCAAATCCCTGCACTCCTGCCTCCTAAGTGGACTTGAGGTGGGGGTCCTCATCAGTGAGGCAGCACTCTGTGGCCGACTCTACCGTGACTTGCTTTGGAAATAATGAAGGCAGAGCTCTGACCTTGGAGAGGATTGTAGGTGTGAGCACGGGAGGCTGGGGGTAGAGGGTGCTCTGGTCCATCCCCACATTCACAGACCCCCTATAATGCCAGCGATGTGAAGGCAGGACGAGAGGAGGCAGAATGCCAGCTGGAATGGTGGGTGGGCTCCCCTGCAGCCCTACAGGTGGCACCTGGGCATTGCTATTCTCAGAAGTCACGTCATTGCCTGGCAGTGTCAGAGGCTGGCATGGCTTGGGGGAGGGGGCAGCTGCAATGCTGAGGAGGCTGGCAAAAAACCACTTTCCTCCTTCACTGAAATTTTACAGATCTTTCCTGAGAGCCCACTAGGTACCAGGTTCAGGGGGGTTCACGGAAAGAATGTGGCATGACCCCGCTGCCCTTCCCTCATCCCAGACTCACACCAGAGTGGAAAAGCAGGGTCAGCCGGAATCAAGATGCAAGCACAGAGCTTCCAGGTTCCAGGCAGGGAGAAGATGGTTAGGGTGGGGCCCTCTTTGTCCACTGCTCACCTTCCAAAGCCCACTGGGCACAGCCCCATGGTGCCAGGCCACCGGCAGTGACCAGGGCTTCAGACCCCTGCTGCAGCTGCCACGCTGTGGGCATGCAAGAAAAACATGGTCCCTATAAATAGATGAATCCCCAGCGTGGTTTGGCTTTGGTGCCTGTTATGGGCGGTGTGGTGTGCTGGTGAGTCTGCCTGTAACGGCGTGAACACTGATAACAGTGACAGTGAGCCGTTTCCTGCACGCTGTGCTCTGCAGGCCCCAGGTGCCCTCAGATCCATCATCTGCAGTCCAGCCTGAGCAGATTCTGGAGAGAGCTCATCCTGGCCTGGCTGTGCTATAGATACTGATGGTAATTATTAGGGGGAGCGGCAAGATGCCTGACAAGGAATGTGAGCATGTACACATGTGTGTGCACTATTGTGTATGTGTGGCTAGCCAGCAGAACCAGCACCTACCACCATCAACCCCTGAAAGAGTGCCCGGCTGGCCGGGCGCGGTGGCTCAAGCCTGTAATCCCAGCACTTTGGGAGGCCGAGACGGGTGGATCACAAGGTCAGGAGATCGAGACCATCCTGGCTAACACGGCGAAACCCCGTCTCTACTAAAAACACAAAAAATTAGCCGGGCGAGGTGGCGGCGCCTGTGGTCCCAGCTACTCAGGAGGCTGAGGCAGGAGAATGGCGGGAACCCGGGAGGCGGAGCTTGCAGTGAGCTGAGATCTGGCCACTGCACTCCAGCCTGGGTGACAGAGCGAGACTCCATCTCAAAAAAAAAAAGAGTGCCCGGCATGTAAGAGGTGCTCAGTCATCACTTGTTGAATAAGTAAATGAATGAATGAATGAATGAATGAATGAATGCTTGTATGGGTGCTATGGGAGGGCTGCCACTAAGTTTTAGAAGCAGTTTTAGATTTAGAAGCAGGCTTCTGAGCCAGGCGTGGTGGCGTGCCAGTAGTCCCGGCTACTTGGGAGGCTAAGGTGGGAGGATCCCTTGAGCCCAGGCATATGAGGCTGCAGTGATCTATGATCATGCCACTGCACTCCAGCTTGGGCAATAGCGTGAGGACCTGGCTCTTAAAAAAATGTATTATTATTATTATTATTATTATTATTCCGAGACGGAGTTTCACTCTTGTCACCCAGGCTGGAGTGCAGTGGCATGATCTTGGATCACTGCAATCTCCGCCTTGAAGGCAGAGCCCTGACCTTGGAGAGGATTGTAGGTGTGAGCAAAAACAAATATTATGAAGCCTCTACTATGTACCAGTCATGGTGCAAGCGACCAGGTATACAGTGGTGATCAGAACTGACAGGGTGCTTGCCCTTAGAGAGCTTACTTTGTAGAGAGAAGATACAAATTAATCAAATTATCCCACACACATACAACTACATGAAAGAATATGGAGAAACTAAGGCTAAGACTTTCTGTAGTGAGGTCGGGAGATACTCACGCCTGCTAAAGTTCCAGCCACACAATATCCCAAAAGACTTGGATGCGCAACCGAGGTCGTGATCTGCCAGCCTCCAGCATTTCTCAGCTGCGAGTACCCTAACCAGCTCACCAGTCAGAAAGGCTTTGCAATCTAGGATTTCTGCCCAGCCAATGAGCTGCCTCTGAAAACAACTTTCTGTAGAAATCCTCTGTAAAAAGTCCTCTCCTGGCCGGGTACGGTGGCTCATGTCTGTAATCCAAGTACTTTGGGAGGCCGAGGTGGGCGGATCACCTGAAGTCAGGAGTTGGAGACCAGCGTGGCCAACATAGTGAAGCCCCCTCTCTACTAAAAATACAAAAATTATCTGGGCATGTTGGCGGGTGCCTGTAATCCCAGCTACTCAGGAGAGGCTGAGGCAGGAGAATTGCTTGAACCTGGGAGGCGGAGGTTGCAGTGAGCTGAGATGGCGCCACTGCACTCCAACTTGGGCGACAGAGCAAGACTTCGTCTCAAAAAAAAAAAAAAAAAAGAAGAATCCTCTCCTCCACTTGCCTCCTGGGACGCTCTTCAGGGCTGTCCTGATCCCTTGTACCTTCCACTCTGGTGTGAGTCTGGGATGAGGGAAGGGCAGCGGGGCCATGCTACATTCTTTCTGTGAACCCCCTGAACCTGGTACCTAGTGGACTCTCAGGAAAGACCTGCAAAATTTCAGTGAAGGAGGAAAGTGACTTTTTGCCAGCCTCCTCAGCATTGCAGCTGCCCCCTCCCCCAAACAAAGAATTGCAATTCTTTGTTTCCCAAATAAACCCTCCATGTCAATCTCTTTTTAGTTAACAATAAATAGCAAGTTGCAACAAATAGTTTGAAGGGAAAGTATAGGATGCTACAAGACAGTATAGCAGCAGGGTGGGTCCTGAATCGATGCGGGTGGTCAGGACAGACCTGTCTTGGGGAGGGACATTTCATACAGGTACAAAGGGAGACCTGAAGGATGAACTGACATGATGAATGGGGAGGACAGCTGTGCAAGATACAGAGAATAGCATGTGCAAAGGCCCTGGGGCAGAGAAGAGTGTGGTGGTTTGCCTTGAGGAGCTGACCAAAGGCCAGTACGGCTGGAGTACAGTGAGTGATGAAGAGTATGGGAAGAGAGGGAGAGGAAGGGGTCAGATCGCATGGGGCCTCATGGGCTGTGCTGTGGACTTTGGATTTTTATCCTAAGTGTGGTGGAATGATACTGGAAGGTTTTAAGCAGAGGAGTGGGTGACATGATCCAGTTAGACTTGCATGGTCCAGGAGAGAGAGGATGATGGCTATGACCAGGTGGGGCCCCTGGGGTGGTGTGGGAAATAGGGAGCTGTGGGATACAGTGGTGGCATAGATTGGACGTGAGTGATAGTGAGCAGACCCAGTGATGCTGAAGAACCCTGCAGTGGCAGGAAGGGAGGGAGGATGGGGTCAGGGAGTGGGACATTCGGATGGGTGGGATTGGAGGGGGTGATGACTCGGTTGACCAAGGGACTTGGTGCCTGAGGTGGAATATGAGGCAATAAGAAAGTCAAGAATCTGAGAGGCCGGGGGTTGATGGTTCATCCATACAGCTGCAGGAACCCCCAAAGATGAGTTATAAAAGCAAAAAGCTGGAAATAACCAAAATGCCCAGCTATTAGGGGTGGTGAAGTAGATTATGATGAACCCACCGGGCAGAATATGTTACAGCCACTAACAATGTGGGTTGTACACACCAAGCAGCATGGAAACTGTTTCTGTCCTACTTACTATTACACGGGAGAGAAACTCCAACCTCAGGGATGTCTGACTCTGCCAGGCTAAAGCTTACTTCCTTATTCATTTAACACTCTTTATTGAAGTGCAAGGTACAAATAGAACAGAAAAGTACATCAGCCACCAGTGTCCATCTCAGTGAGTTTCCCCATCTAGCCAGCGCCTAGAACAAGAAATAGAACAAGAGAAACGGTGGGGTTTCTAGGTCTTTTACAATGCGTTTGTGTCCATTTTGTATGAAAGAAACCAATTTTAAAACATTGGCAGAGCCTTGGCTTTCAGTGTGCAGCCCCTGGGGGAAAGAGGCTCGGTCCCTGAAGCCGTGCGCTCACCGGGGAGCTGGTGTTGGCTCTGCTTTTCCTCGCCCAAGTTGTCTGTCACCATGGGGAGAATAAAGTGGCCCCGTGGCCGATACTGACCCCAGGGTGAGGGGAGAGGATGGGGCGGGGACACTGGTGTCCCTCCCTCCCTCTCAGCCTCCCTATCCCAGTTCCCTGAGTCTTCGGGTGATGCTTGGGTGTCTCACACCTGTCCCTGCTTCCTTCCCACAGGTGGAAAAATTTGTGAAATATTTGGATCCCAACGACCTGGGGAGAATCAACTTCAAGGACTTTTGCCGGGGGGTGTTCGCCATGAAAGGTGAGGCCTTCTGGGGAGGCTTTCCCACGTGCTTCAGGCCCTGCCCAGCTGGGGAAGCTGGTGTGGCTGGGACCCAGCCTGGATTCCTCCCCACAGGGCTCCCAGAGCCCAGGATGGGCCAGAAGTTGGTTCTGCCTCTGGCTTCCCGGGGGGCAGAGAGAAGGACACAGTTGTCCCAGCCGTGGGGGCTGTGGTCTCACCCATGGAGGTCACTTCTGCCCTTCCCCTTGTCTGCCTGCCTCTGGAGAAAGCCTCCTCCTTGCTTTTCTGTCCTCTTCCTCTGTCTCCCGCTCTGGGATGACCAAACCCAAGGAGTCTCCTGGGCAAACCTGGACAAAGTGCTGGTCACCCGACTGCCCGCCTCCCTCTGAGCTGCTTTTGTGTCCTCCCTGCTCCCACCTCCTTTTTTTTTTTTTGAGACAGGGTCTGCCTTTGTCACCCAGGCTACTGGAGCGCAGTACGACTATCATGGCTCCCTGCAGCCTCAACCTCCTGGGCTCAAGCAATCCTCCTGCCTCAGCCTCCTGAGTAGCTGGGACTACAGGAGGTACACCACCACGCCGGGCTAATTTTCGTATTTTAAGTAGAGGTGGAGTTTCGTCACATTGCCCAGCCTGGTCTTGAACTCCTGAGATCAAGTGGCCCTCCCACCTTAGCCTCCCAAAGTGCTGGAATTACAAGCCTCCATGCCCTGCCCTCTCTTCCTCTTTTTTTTTTTTTTTTTTTTTTTTTGAGACGGAGTCTGGCTCTGTCACCCAGGCTGGAGTGCAGTGGCGCAATCTCGCTCACTGCAAGCTCCGCCTCCCGGTTTACGCCATTCTCCTGCCTCAGCCTCCCGAGTAGCTGGACTACAGGCACCCGCCACCTCGCCCGGCTAGTTTTTTGTATTTTTTAGTAGAGACGGGGTTTCACCGTGTTAGCCAGGATGGTCTCGATCTCCTGACCTCGTGATCCACCCGTCTCGGCCTCCCAAAGTGCTGGGATTACAGGCTTGAGCCACCACGCCCGGCCTCTTCCTCTTAATTCTTCCTAATTCCTGCCTTTCTTACTTGCCTCCCCTTCCAGCTTTGGGGGACACTATAAATCCCTCTGTCTTGTCCCAAAAATTCAAAGGCCAGTTGTGAGAAACTTGCAGAAATCAGAATATGGCCACTCACTTACTACTAAGCTGTTTATCTGAGACAGTGAAGGCCAGGCATGGTGGCTCACACCTGTAATCCCAGCACTTTGGGAGGCTGAGGCAGGCGGATCGCTTGATCTCAGGTGGATCACTTGAGTCCAGGAGTTTGAGACCAGCCTGGCCAACATGGCGAAACCTCGTCTCTACAAAAAATACAGAAAAATTAGCTGGGCATTCTGGTGTGTGCCTGTGGTCCCAGCTACCTGAGAGGCTGAGGTGGGAGGATCACCTGAGCCCAGGAAGTCAAGGCTGCAGTGAGCTGACGTCACGCCACTGCACTCCAGCCTGGGTAACGGAGTAAGACCCTGTCTCAGAAAAGAAAAAAATCTGAGACAGTGGCATAGATCACCAGCCAGGTGGGCTTGCTAAGGCCTCCCCACTAGCTGCAGGGAGAATGAAGTCACTTCTGGAGTCCCAGGGTGTCTGGTTATCTGTAAAGGAAGCCGTGGTTTCCTGTCTGTGGCTCAGATCAAGGTGAGCCCTTTTCTGTGGGGCGCCTGTGAACCCTGGGAGGGTGGAAGGATGCAGGGTGAGGGATGAAGGGAAACAAATACACGGTGCAGGGGGCACAGAACACAGAAGGCACCCAGGGAAGGTCTTCTGCGTGGATTTGACAATGGGCCACTGCAGGCTGCACCTGCCATGTGCCTGTGCCAGGCGTTTTGTCGGGTCCCCCTCCCGTGTTCAGTACAACGTTGGGGCATTTGGTTGGGAACTCAGGAGCGAGGCCAGCCGTGTGCAGAGTCAGCAGGAACTGGAGCTGTCCTAGAGCAGCCCTGTCCTGGATGTCCCAGGGTCTGCAGGACGCAGAGGGCACCCAGCTCAGAGGAATGGGTGTGTTTGCTTTCTCCAGAGGCTGGCAGAGTTGTTAGGAGTCCCTGCGAGCCAAGCGGGCAGCACTGCCTTAGGTCCCCTCCCCCAGGAAGGCCTCCTTCTTCCCTGTGTCCCCAGCCTGCCCTCTGCGTGTGGGAGTTAGTCCCAGAGGACAAGGGCCTCTTGCAGCTCCCTGCACAGTGCCCTGAGCCGAGTTCCCCACTGCCTGGGCTCCATCCCTGCCTTCCAGTGCTCAGCTGGCCTCCTGGAGCCTCGGGCCCCCACCTCAGCCCTTCCCACCCCATGCCCATTAGTTAGAAGCAGAGCAGCCATCCCAGGCTGAGGCTCAACCTCTCACCATCCCTTGTGTCTGCCTGTCTGCACAGGGTGCGAGGAGCTTCTGAAGGATGTGCTATCGGTGGAGAGCGCCGGGACTCTGCCGTGCGCGCCAGAGATCCCAGACTGCGTGGAGCAGGTAAGGCTTGGGGGACCTCTAGGACCTCCATGGCTCTGCCTCCTCCTTGGTCTCGCCTTTGCTCCATTTTCAGTATCTGGGAGGATCCAGAACCTCCCTCTGAGGACCCTTCTTGAGCATCAAAGTCAAGAAATAGTTTTTGGAACAGGAGCCCTGAGGCCCCATTGGGAAGCCCCAGCAGAGTGTGTAACAGCTGGGGGTCCCCACCCAGCAACTTTGTTCCCCATCTGTGGCACGGAGGAGAAACTGAGTTCCAGACAGGGAAAGTGACAAGTGCAGGGGAGGCAGGACTGGAATTGTTTCCTTTTCTCCTGCACCATCGCTCTCTGGTGAACGCTTCCTGTTTATTTGTTTTCAAATAATGAATTCTCCAATTCTCTGACACTAACTGGTGTCCAGCAGTCAGTTCCACCTGCCACTAACTACCCAGCATTAGCACAGACTCCACGAGTCAAGGCCAGCCCCATGAGACTGCCCCACTTCCCATGCCAGCTGCGGTTCTTCCTGGATAACTGCAAACACAGGGTTCCCAGGACCCCCTCTCTCAGGCTGGGTAATTCACTGGAAACACTCAGGAAATGGTTGTACTTATGCTGATCAGCGTATTACAAAGGGTACAACTCAGGAATAGCCACATGGAAGGGATGTACAAGACAGCGTATGGGGAGCCGGGGTACAGAGCTTCCGTACCTTCAGGGACACTGCCTCCCAGCACATCACTGTGCTACCAGCACCCAGGCTCTCTGCATCTCATTGTTCGAGAATCTGTAGGCCTGGCGTGGTGGCTGATGCTTGTAATCCCAGCACTTTGGGAGGCTGAGGCAGGAGGACAGCTTGAACCCAGGAGTTTGAGACGAGCCTGGGCAAGATAGTGAGACCCTGTCTCTACAAAAAAAATTTACAATTAGCTGGATGTGGCGGTGCACACCTGTAGTCCTAGCTACTGGGGAGACTGAGGTGCGAGGAGCACTGGAGCCCAGCAGTTTGAGACTTCAGTGAGCTGTGATTGTGCTACTGCACTCCAGCCAGCCTGGGTGACAGAGCCAGACTCATCTCCAAACCTAAAACAGTTTTTACAACCCGGTCTCCAGCCCGTCTCCTGTGCCTGGAGGTTGGGGGTAGGTGGGAAGGTGAGGAAGTTCCCACCTCATTGTATGCTTGGTCTTTCTGGTGACCAGCCCCATCCTGAAGCTCTGTATCAGGAAGTGGGACAAAGACCACAGTCCCCAAGGCTCTGTTTTACTGTTATCATCACCTAATGGTGTGTTTCTTATAAAACTTTGAACTAGTTTTCCAAACAGTGCAGCTTCATCCTACAGAGAAATAGTTTAAGGTGCACAAGCTGACAACCGGCGAGGTCCCTCCTGGTGGCGACACCCAAAACTAGAAGAGAATGATTTTGATTTCTCACCCAGTCCAACCCCCAATCCTTTTCCCCAGTTCTGATGGGTGCCTCCTCCGGCCCCCAAAACATGAGTATGTTTATAGCTGAAGGAGATCCAGGACCCCAGAGGCCGCTTTGGCCGATGGTAGGCCTCTTGGAATCCAGCTGGGTCGTAGGGCCAGAGTTGGGTTCCCTGGGCAGGACTGGAGGAGGGACAGTCCACAGAGAGGGACACAGTGCTGAGGGCTGCCAGTCCACGGCGGCAGAGACCAAAGCCAGGCACCAACTGTGGCTAGGCCTCAGGCTGCTGTGCTCAAAGCAAGAGCCCTCAGGGATGCGTGGAGATAGCTGGGCTCCAGGCCCATGCCCGTGCCAGCAGTGGTGGCTCCAGGCCTGTCTTGATGGGTCCAGCGAGGAGGGGTTGAATATGTATTTGGGGCCAGCTAATGGAACCAGGCTTAGGGCAGAGGACCCCTACTGAGTGTCCCAGGAAGTTTGTGGGGAGGCCCTTCCTGGATTGCTGAGTGGGAGGCAGCGTGCAGAGGTGTGCAGGACTGGGTCCACACCCACGGGGGCCCCCCAGGACAGGCCATGGAACCTGAGCACATTCTTCTCAACCCCTCTGAGCCTCAGTGTCCGCAGCTGTAAAACAGGGCTTGCCACGCCAATCTGGAGGGTCTGTTGTGAAAGTTCAGTGGGAAGACAGACCCCTAATATGTGCTAATTCCTCACCGCCTGCTGCTGTAAGAAAATAGTGCTGAAGTGACCGTTTGCATTTTTCAGTTTACCTTTGGATACCGGTGTTGCAAAATTATGTCAAACTAAGGCCCTGCCCCAAGAACTGCAGGGCAGAGTGGAGCCGAGGCCTGGGGTGGGTGGGGAGTGCGGGTAGGGATGGCGTGTTCCCTGCAGTCTTTGGCTGCTTTTGTGGCCCCCACATTCTGCCATTCACACCTCTGGAAAAGATGGCACGTGGAGAAAAGGTGAGCAGGGGGCACAGAAGAGCGGGCCTCCACCAAGGTACTCTTTTTTGTAAACTGATATTATTTTCCTCCAAAGTCTAGAGGTTATGGGAAAGTAGAAAGAAAGACCGCATCAGCCTATCTCAGCAAGCCTGGTGCTTCTCCTCATTTGTTCATGGGACTTTGCAAGCCTATAGGTGTTTGTTGCTTTGGGTTTTAAGCTTCTCGTGGGTGAACTGCTTTCTGCCCTCCATGGAGGCCTGGCCCCGGCTTGGGCAACCAGAGCCTAGTGAGATGGCAGTAGGTGGGGACACAGTGGCAGCCTTGTTCATTATACTCGCTGGGGCTGTTTGGTTGACCTGGGCTCCGTTACCGACCATGGGCTCCTGTGTGTTGGCAGGGAGAGGAAGGGGGCACAATCCGAAGACCAGCCTGACCGAGCGGACGGCTTCTGGGTTGTGAATGAGTCCCCTTCCTGGCTCAGGCTCCTGTAGTAGCAGGGTCAAGACCACAGCTCTGCAGATGAGGTGTCAGAGTGGGCCAGACGGGCAGGTCCGAATTTCTCAGGCCCGGCCCTCGGCGCCCTGCTGTGTCTTAGCTGTCCCCTAGGGGTCAGTCTGAGACCGAGAAGAAGCGGTGCCTGGATCACTAAGTGGGCTTCCCAGATGCCCCCAGGGAATGCAAACCTGAGGCATGATTTGAGGAGGTGTGGGGATGACACACAGATGGGACGACAGGCGCTCCACCCCTGTGCTGTGCTTGTGTGCTGGGAAATGAAGCCTGTCTTTTGGGGACACCCCCCTCTCCCCAGGGTGTGGATGGAGACCTCTGATGTCACCACTGGATGTGGCTCATAGTTAAAGCAGTGAATGCTTGAGTGCTGGCTGGTGGGCGAGCCGCTGCCACCTGGCCCCTGAGAGTGCCCTGCCCTTCTCATGCCCTTCCCAGGCCCCGAGAAGCCCCTAGCATTGGACATCAGTCAGGGACCCCTGGGGTTGCTGTCCAGACCTCAGGCCAGTGCGAGTCTATCCCAGGCAGTTGATGCCTGGATGCACCAGTTCCTGACCTAACTGGATGTGGCTCCACCTGCGTCCCCAGAGCCCTGTGAAACACTGGCACAGGGAAACTTTGAGTCTTGAGAACCCCAACTGTTGAGCAGGCTGTTGAGCGAGTTTCCTGACCCAGGGAAATTTGCTTCTGGTCATGCCTGGGGTCCCTGGAATTGCCCTGGGAGTCCCTCTGAGACTGTCCTGCTCAGGCTGCCCATCAGCCCCCAGTCCATATGCTATAGGGGCTCCTGTGGGGAGGGGGCATGGAGACATGTGGAGAGCGCCACACTCGGGTGCTAAAGGCAATGGGATAGTTGCTAGGGGCCCGTGGCCACCCCTCGGCAGGTGGTGATGTGAACCCTAACCCTGCAAGCGCTGTAAGGCCATGGGCCCCGTTCATCCACCCCATGGTGGATTAACAGGCAACCCCATTAAATGGAGAGGGCATCCGGCCACCTGCCCTCCTGTGTAGCCACCATGCCAGCAAATGGTGTCAGTAGCCTCCAACCCAGAGAGTCATCCTCAGCGCCCCCTCATGCAGCTGCCTGGAGTCCCCCGTTCCCCACTCACCCCTGCCTCCGCCTCCCATCGCAGTCACCCACTCACCCCTGCCTCCCCTTCCCATCGCAGTCACTGCCACCCACCGACCAGGCGTCCTCCTGTCCTCGGCCCTCCTCTCTCCACACCCGCATACCACAGTTTGGCAGGCTGTCCCTAAGTTGCTGCTCTGATTTGTCACCCCGCTCCTGGGACCTGTCCTTACCAAGGGATGAAAACCAACATCAGCTCCTACCCACTGCTCCAGCCTCATCTCTCACCGTGGTGCGTCTCACACCTAAAACTGGCGATACCAAACCACTCCCTGTTTTCTGAGCAAGTCGCGTTCTCTCTTGCCTCTGAGCCTTTGCATGAGTGTTGTCTTTGTCCTAGGATGTCCTCCTTCCCGCTTACTTGTCAGGAGCTAACGTCTACTCACCTTTTTAAGACTTACTTGGCAAGAGTGGTGGCTCATACCTATAATCCCAGCACTTTGGGAGGCTGAGGTGGGAGAATTGCTTGAGCCCAGGAGTTTGAGACCAGCCTGGACAATATAGTGAGACCCCTTCTCTTTAAAAAAAATTTACTGGCCGGGCGCGGTGGCTCAAGCCTGTAATCCCAGCACTTTGGGAGGCCGAGACGGGCGGATCACGAGGTCAGGAGATCGAGACCATCCTGGCTAACACAGTGAAACCCCGTCTCTACTAAAAAATACAAAAAACTAGCCGGGCGAGGTGGCGGGCGCCTGTAGTCCCAGCTACTCGGGAGGCTGAGGCAGGAGAATGGCGTGAACTCGGGAGACGGAGCTTGCAGTGAGCCGAGATCCGGCCACTGCACTCCAGCCTGGGCAACAGAGCGAGACTCCGTCTCCAGAAAAAAAAAAAAAAAATTTACTGGGCCGGGCGCGGTGGCTCACGCCTGTAATCCCAGCACTTTGGGAGGCCGAGGCGGGCAGATCACAAGGTCAGGAGATCAAGACCATGGTGAAACCCCGTCTCTACTAAAAATAGAAAAAATTAGCCGGGCGCAGTGGCGGGCGCCTGTAGTCCCAGCTACTCGGGAGGCTGA